GCAACTACCCTCGCAAACATTTACGCATCCGAGACTTACGACAGGCGCCTCTATCCGGTGGGGTGGGATGCTCCAGGCTTCGACGATGGTGGCTGGTCATCGGCAAAGGCGCTTACCGGTCCCAGAGGCCAATTACGATATCAGAGCCAGCCGCCGGTTGTACTTCATGAAACCTTTCAACCTGTGTCTACGCGGACGGCCCGACCTGGTGTCGTCTGTTTCGACCTCGGGCAAAACGCATCTACGATGGTGAAAATCGTTGTAGAGGGAGCTGCCGGATCTGAGATCACTGTCAGATACGGTGAGACAACCTACGAAGATGGCACGATCCTGATGCCAGATCCGTTGTTCAAAGAATTTGAAACGGGTGTGTATTCGACAATCTACCTCCGTGGCGATGGGAAGCCTGAGGAATGGTCACCGGATTTCAGCTTCACCTGCGCGCGGTACATTCAAGTCGAAGGAGTTGCTTTGGAGCCTGGCCAGGGACGTCCAGTGATACACTCCGCGGTAGGACAGCACGTATCGTCGGCGTCACGAAGACTCGGAACCATGGAAACGGACAAAGAGGATGTGAACGCGCTTCTCAAAGCCCTGTATTGGAGTTTTGCCAGCAACCTCTTCAGCTACCATACCGACTGCCCGCAGATCGAGAAGTTCGGCTGGCTGGAAGTCACACACCTGCTAGCACCCGCAACGCAGTACATTCGCGACGTAGAGGCGTTATACACCAAGATTCTAGACGACATCATTGAGGCGCAGGAGTCGAGCGGCTTGGTCCCAACGATGGCGCCGGAGATCCGCTACATGTGCGGCCCACTCCACGATACCATCACGTGGGGCTGCGCCATCTGTTTCCTGCCCGACATTCTGCTGCGCTACTATGGTTCTACGCATGTGATATCAAAGGTGTACCGTCCCGCAATCCGCTACATGGAGTACATCCGCACGAAGGAACGTAAGGGTGGGCTAATCGAGCACGGGCTCGGCGATTGGGGGCGGGACATCGCATTCGGCAATTTGCAGGCCAACATCGAGACGGCAGTCTACTATCGCTGTCTTCAATGTCTGGAGATGATGGCGCGCGAGCTATCACTCTGGGACGAGGCCGAGCAGTTCAAGCAGTGGGCGACGCGTATCTACGACGTCTACAACCGCCACCTACTCGTTACAGATGATCCCGGGAGGCCTTATGCCTACTACACGTCTCTTGATAATTATCCCGAGCGAGATCTCCAGGCCATCAGCCAAGCGGTTGCGCTTCAATTCGGCCTTGTCCCCACAGAGCACCGCCGAGCCGTGGAATCCGCGTTTCTCGACGACGTGGCCGACTGCCGCATCAGGTCCGGTGAAATTGGTTTGCGCTACCTCTTCAACACGCTCGACGACGTCGGCCGTCCGGACATCGTGCTCGCGATGGCGCGACAGGAAGAACATCCGTCGTACATGCGCTTCCTAAGGCGAGGAGAGACGACGCTGTTGGAATTTTGGCAGGATGATTGCCGAAGCAAGTCTCATGACATGCTTGGGAGCATTTATGAGTGGTTCTATGCAGCAGTTCTTGGGGTGAAGCCTCTTAGCAATGCCTACAAGACCTTCAGCATTGCGCCACCGTATCGGTCCGAGTTTGGGTTCGTGGAGGGCACGGTTGATTGCCCTTATGGTAAGATTGAAGTCAGGCTTGAGCGCCGAGAAGATCAAGGGTACAGCCTGGGGCTGAGGATTCCAACAAGTACGGTAGCGACGTTGCGATTACCCGATGAAACGAGCCGGGCGGAGATCTCTCGGAACGGGATAGCTAAAGGAACTGCGGAGGGAATGGATGTGGAGCTCAGACCTGGCATGTACATCGTATCTATACATGCCCCTTGAGAGGGGGGGTTGAGAACTTTTATGTATCAACGAGGTTCTGTGGCGCCATGATAGGAAACAAAAAGCCTCATGGGTGTGTGTGCGCCGGAGACGGGCTCTTCATCAAGAGCTTGCTTAACGACTACACCACCGATGATCATCGCCTTCGATGCTCCCCATCCATGTCCAAATTAGGCAATAGCAGTCCCAAGTCACCAAACTTCGTTCTCATGGGATCTATGGACCGTGGTGAACGGTCATGGGCCAGTATCGGCCGCAGAGCTGAGCGTTAAGGACTTGAGGATACAGTTACCAAGTGGCGAAAAGGGCGTTTCTTCTCGGTAAGAGGATTAAGACCTTTCCCATAGCGAGAAACTCGATGAGGTGGATAGGCAAGCGGAAGACCAACGTAAGTGCTATGCCTCAGTAGTATTAGGAACCGCCAACGGTAATGGACACTTGAATTGGCCGGATGAAGAGCCCTTGGGCCAGAGGGACCTGAATGTACCAGACGGCTGCTGTGGACCAGAAGAATCAGGCTGCAGCGAGAGCGCACCGTGCAGGCAGGCCGGATGAAGGACAAAGGTGTAAGGATGAGATGCCACAGGCGAGGACCTGAGGCGCTTTGGTAGATGTTGCTAATACTATTCCCGTATCCCTTTCTCGGGAGACTCTTCGGTGCTCTACTGCCAGCCTGACCCTTCCCTCTTCCATGTTCGTGTACCTGTCCGCGTGCCGATCCCCATACTGAATCATTACCGGACTCTTTTCACCCGGCCTCGGTCGATACTCCACGCGGAGTACAATGCGGGGAAGCTAGGATTATCCTGCTCAAGGCACGGCCAGGTCCTCCGAAAGTGTCAGTAAGGGGCGCCCAGCACCATCCTTGTAGCTTGCAGCAGGGACTCCTCAGCGTCGGGCTGATGTCGACCGATTGATTCGACACCGTACCAAGTTGTATATTAGTATATAATAGCGAGCATTCGAGCAGGTATCACGAAGGCATTCCTCAACACTTCTCCAAACATGAAGCTCGCAGCGGTTCTCATCAATTTTTCTGTGGCCAGCTTTGCTGCTCAAGCCTTAGCGGTCCAGTATGAGCAGTACATACTAGCTCCCTCATCTCGTACACTCCATCCGATCTCCGTATACAACGTCGACGGCAGCGTTGTAGGCGCCGAGAGTCTTGTTGGCGATGATCTTGGATCTGCTACTTTCCAGGGAATTTCGGCCGTCACGTTCGACTACGGCAAGGAGATAGGAGGCGTTGTCTCCTTGACGATTGGTGAGGTAGACGACGATCAGTATATCGGAATCACCTTTGCTGAAAGTTCTCTCTGGATATCCGGCATTGGTAGCGATGGCGGCTCGTTCAGTCAGTTCGACTCGCCATTATGGTTCCGACCCTCGGGGCCGGGTGTTTATACCGTGCCTCGAGAATATGAAAGAGGAGGGTTTAGGTACCTCAGTTTGATTAAGAACTCAACAGAGACACTTGAGGTCACGCAAGTCACGACCCATTTCACGCCTATGCCACATTACTCGGAAGACGCGTTGAGAAATTACACTGGATTTTTCCATTCCGATGGTACGGTAGCAACGATGCATGTTATTATACAGAATGCGATAAGCTTACAGTTGGGCGCAGATGAGCTTGTAAACCGGATCTGGTATGCTGGTACGTTGGGTGTGAGGAGACATCGAAATCAGGGTGTTCGACCGTCCGTCGGCCCGTCCGTCGGCCCGTCCGCCGAAGTTTGAGCGCGCTTAAACTTCGGCGGACGGGCCGACGGACGGTCGAACAACCTGATCGAAATCGAAGTGCCAGGCTGATCTACGTTAGGCGCATACACCAATCAGCTCTGCACTATCAGCCCTGTGTATGGCAATTCGTTGCCTTGGCTACTTATAGGCAATTCCGACGAGATTTCTGCGTACTGGTTCAGCAACACGACTATTTCAAACGGCACTAGCGTACTCGTCGATGGCGCGAGGCGCGACCGTCTTGTCTGGGTACAGCAATCTTCTTTTCTTATGAAGCCATACTTGTCCGGCTGATCTTCTTAGGCTGGAGATATGGCCATTGCCGTACCTGGCATCGTTGTGTCGACTAACGATTTGATCTCTGTCCGGAATTCGCTCGACTCGCTCTTCGCGCTTCAGAATGGGACTACTGGCCAGCTCCCGTACGCTGGTGTTGGGTTTTTCCCTGATTCTTATTCAGAGACATACCACTTGTACACCTTGATTGGCGTAGCCAATTATTATTTGTATGCGGTTAGTATATGAAATGCGTTCGGACTGTCAGCAATGAGCTAACCCCTACTAGAACGACATCGAGTACCTTTCCAATATCTGGAGTCAATGGAAAACAGCAATGGACTACTCTATTAGTCAAATCGACGATTCCGGCCTTATGAATGTCACTCTATCGGCAGATTGGCTTCGCTTTGGTATGGGCGCGCACAACATCGAGGCTAACAGCATCCTCTATCACACTCTCCAGCAAGGTCTTATCCTCTCACGCGCGCTGAATGACAGCGGTGTCACTGAACTCTACACCGAAGTGGCAGAAACTTTAAAGAGCAGCGCTAATGCCCTTCTCTGGAATGAGACTGCGGGTTTCTATAACGACAACGAGACGTCAAGTTTACACCCTCAGGATGGCAATTCCTGGGCTGTAGTCGCCAACCTGACCGATTCCCCAGAGAAAGTTGCCCGAATCTCGGCCAACCTACAAAGACGCTGGGGTCCTTACGGCGCTCCTGCTCCTGAAGCCGGCACCGCCGTTTCACCTTTTATCAGTGGCTTCGAATTACAAACGCACTTTGCCGCTGGGAACGCTACGCGTGCACTTGAGCTTATGCGGCTTCAATGGGGTTACATGCTCGATGGCCCGTATATGACCAACTCAAGTTTCATTGAAGGATACGAGTTTTCTGGCGCCCTACATTACGCCCCTTACCCGAATGATGTCCGCATCAGCCACGCTCACGGCTGGTCCACTGGTCCTACCTCGACGCTAACGTTCAATGTTGCCGGAATCGTGCTTGAGGGCCCGGGAGGGGCAACTTGGCAAATCAAGCCTCAGCTCGGGGACTTACAATCGGTGCATGCAGGGTTTTCGACAGGGCTAGGGCTCTTCGAGAATCGATACGAGAAACAGGACAATGGAACCTTCAAAATGGTGTTCGAAACCCCCAAGAGTACGAAAGGCAGACTGAGCATTGAGCATTCAGAGTGCGCTGGGACTATGGTCCTAAGAGATTTGGGTGGAGCTTGTGATGACACTGTTGTAGATGTTGATAGCAATCCAGGCGGAAGGGTTGAGTTCGCAAATGTTGTTGGAGGGCGATGGGAGATTGATTTCAAGTGTAGTAGCTAAATTTAGGTACGAAGAGAAGAGTGTCCGTTTAATGATACATACTATTGGTTGCAAAATATGCGGCCGCCTTAGTAATAAGCTTAAATCTTCTCCCTCTCTAAGATTTGTTATTCTGTAGAGCACGCGCAATGCTTTTACCTCAACTCAATACTTTTATGTATCTTTCATATAGCTATATTTATCTATATTAGTATTTATCTAGGTGTGTTTCGAGTAACATACAGACAAAGGCGAGTGGTAGCGGTTCTCTGAAGGCGTGTCATTGCACGGAGCCGTTTGGAGGTCCCTCAGTCTAGGACTAAGGATATGTGTAAACTTCCACGAACTTGTGGTTCTCATACATAGGGATCGACCAAGCGGAGATTGAGGCGTCATATTGTTGTTAATAGGGGCCTCATGATGAGAGAAAGCGATACATTATGACAGAACGGGACCAAACCATCTGGATGTACCAACAACCCTGTCCAGATCACACGCGATTGGCGCTACCCCATCCATCCTCGGTCAAGACTAGCTGCACCAGCTTACCAGACGCATCCACCACATAGGCTTCGAGATGGTTGCCTGGTTTTACAACGACGGGCGTTGAGCGAAACGGTCCATCAGCGATCTTCTTCCAGCTATTCTCAAAGCTGGTTCCTGCATCGCGATTCCAAGTGCTTTGATACAAGGCGCCCTTTTCAGCGACCACGAAGAGCTCTTCGCGTCCAGGGCCCAACGAAATAGCTGCAATCGAAGATCGTGCTTGGCTCTTGTTGAGGGACAAATGAGATCCCGTCCCATCACGCCATTGGTCATTGACGCATTGTGACTCCCACAACGAACCCTCCCCACTGCCGATAGTGAAGACGTCTAGCTGGGTTGTGAAATCACCACCCGCTTGCGCCCAGACCGCGGCGAAGTACGTATCGGGTCGGACCCATGTGGCGGGCAACACGCTCCAGGTTCTCCAGGACTCGGTACCGGAGGGAAGCAAGTTGAAGGCCATGTCGTACTCGGTGGTAACGGCGAAGATGTTGAGACTAGCATTGCCGCGGTTGAGTACCATTGTCGGAGTACCGATAAAGCGGGCGTCGCCCAGCTGCTGCATCATGCTCCATTTGCCTGCTTGGCGGGACACCCAGTACATCTTCCCAGTGACGCCGATTGCGCAGAGATCCAGTCGATCGCCGCCACGGTCTTGTCCGTCCAGTACAGCTACGCTGGTAAAGTACAGGTCCTTGGCGGGTTCAAGGAGATTGAGAGATGTCCACTGGTCGTTGTTGGCCTGGTGCTTCTCGTATAATTTAGAATCTGCCCCAACCACAAAGACGTCGAGTTGAATCTTGTCTTCGGTAGCACTAATGGCGCATGCGGGATCGCATGCACTGTTCAAGAGGATACTGTCGCCATGGTAATTCCACATTCCGGGACCTTCGGTCGCAGACTCATGATCCGCCACAACTGCTTTGTGCCAGAGGCCACCGTCTGCTCCGCGGGCAAAGAATTCTAAGCCTCCTTTAAGTGGGAGAATAGGCACCGGCTTGCCCCTGTTGAGTGTCAGTGGACAACGCCTCGCACCGACAAAAATTGGCCATTGTGGCTGCTTGCCTGATAATGATGGATCGATTGGGTTTCCCAACGGACTGAGAGGTGGCGACCGGCCTTGTTTTCTACGGAGCCGCGATGTTAGCAAACTCGCTTCGCTGTCACAAAAGGCGGACTCTTACCGGAATCCTGAGTTTCCAGTGGACCGGATCCACATAAGGGGCCGGGTTCTTCTTGTTGAATGTTTTGACGATCGCAGGATTCATCTCGATTTGATCGACCTGGTCTTGTAAGCACAACGCCAAGTGCGGAGATAAAGCCCAATTCAAGAATAGGAGGCGGAAGGGAGGTGCCGAGGGAAGTAACTTGAAACCAAGCATCCGAGGGTAGGTTTTGTTCGAAATCCCCAGCCTCCAAGATTAAAGCATGAAGACGTAGAAAACAGTTTTACCAAGGTGTTGATTGCGTTCATCTGCGCAAAGGCGTCGCTTCGGGCTTCTAGCAAGCCTTCCATCGATGCCTCAAACGCGTCCGGCAGACGCCGAGCGGCGTCGGTGGGAACAAACTCGATCTTTTCATGAGACACGCCTTCCAAGACTTTCTCGGGTTAGCTCTTGACCAAATGGTCTGGAGTGAGGACTTACCCCGGGTTAGCTCCTTGAAAAGCTGCCGGTATTCGACGAAGCTGGGAGTAGGTCAGCAGTTGCTTCGCAAATGCCGTCATTTGCACTTGCCTGTCCAACAACAAGTTGGTGAACTAGTGCCAGTAAGCTGCGAGTCCTTTCGTGCTGGGGCAAGAATCTGAACCTACAGCTGCAGCATTCTCGTACGACAGCGGACTTATATCTCCAAAGGTCACGTGGAAGCTTCGCAATGCAGTGTATTTTGTGACAATAGCACTGTGTACTCTCAGCGTTGATCATCGAGAGGGTTGAGAGGCACGTACTGCGTATATTGAGGCGTCTTCGCGACGAGCGCTGGAAATCGTGCGGCAGCCTACCATGTCGTCAGGTGCTTGTTCTAGCGCTGCAGTTTGCTTGGATCCTTACGGCTGTAAGACTATCGATGGTCCACAGCTCCTCCTCTATAGATTTGTTAAAAGCTTGCTAACGAACTTGTCCACCCGAGTTCATAGATACCTTTCTTGATCTGCCCACCACCAGACCAGTTAACCCAGATGGTAATCTCTGTGTTTTTCGTGAGGTTACTCTTAGCCAATTCTACGGCTGCGTTGGCTTTCACGCTGCCGGCACCGACTTCCAAGGCCACGTGTGCACTTTAACGAATCCGTTTAGTTGGACTCCCGGCGTTGGAGTAGCCTGAACGTTTCATGTTGACTTACTCTGCTTTGATTTCGGTCAGCTTCGACTTATCCAAGACCTTCATTGACCTGAAAAGATGTTATTATATTCCTGCTCCTCGGTGGCCTCAAGGAGCCATACACGATCCCATGGAAGACTCCGCCTTCCTGCCAACCTGCGCAGGTATTTCAGCAACTTGCTAGCAACTTGAAGACTGTCCGGCCTACCTGAGATGAAGGAGTCGCCGTAGACCGCGTTGAAGTTTGCAGGTTTCGAATTCGGTATTCTGTTGAATTTTGTGGTACGCTTGTCCGTCTCAATCGTTTGGTTAACGACACTGGGTATATCAGCATCCGTCCTCCGCACAAGCATTGGAACAATGTTCACTTACTCGACTTTGATCATGAAGTTTATATCGCTTTCTTTGAATTTCTATAGGCGAGGTTAGAACGGCGCGTAGGAGCAAAGGACTTGAGCTCCCTACATCAACATCGAGGTACGATCCTTTACCCCCTCCAGCAATGGGCCCATCTATTTGGATGTTAACCAGCAGAACAGAAACCTGACAAGCTCAACTCACATTTGATTTCCACGGATCCGGAGATATTCATGCTGTCCGTGATATCACTGAATTTGTCTATGAAGTCGCTGACATATGTCACGTTCTGCTTCGTTTAGCGGCCGGTCGTCACGGCGCAGATAAAGGTCAACCGACCTGAGAGCCATTTTGCTTTTCCTCGATTGTGACTGTCGAAGTGATAATCACAGCATCATCAACGCAGACGTTTTGCGTGTATGAGTTGAAACTACGCCTGTCAGAGCAATTAAGAAACTCGGTGGTCGGCGATTCTCACCCCATGCCTGTTGCCATGTTAGCACCGTAGCATCCGTTTGTAGATTCTTAACTCTGAACACATACCAAGTCTCATGGAGTTCTTGAAAGGCGCGAGCGACGACATGATGGTTGACTTTTGTGCTGACTGATCTAGCAACCTGAAGCAAGGTTGGCCACCGGCTCTTGTTTGGAAGACGAGATCGGCTGTAGGGAGTGATTTGCAGAGGGCGCTTTGATGGTTTATAGACGAGGCATGTCATCCAGAAGACTCTCTGGCTAGGCTGTTTCAGCTGCAAGCCCCAGGAGCTGAGCGGAATTCATGCATTCGCCTTTTTCTGGAGCGTCAGTATGGCCCTACTCTCAGCAAGCCACACGAATAGCTGAGCGCAATATCGGCATGCAGCGGTCTCGCCGTCAAACACATGGCCGTGTTGTGATCAACTATCGGCTGTCTCGCCTCAGCTCGGGAGGAAGATCGTCCAACTATTCAACTATTGAGCTCTACAGCTGAGTCTGTTGAAATGGCCTCATGACACATACTCTCGCTTCTCTTCGCTCTGTGTCGAGACGCCTTCCTCCCTACCCGCATATGAGGCATCCACAACAGACAGAAGCTCCAAGCCATCGGCCGGTTTGATTCAGCCAGTTCCATAACCAGCCGAACGTGGCGCTACCGCGCAGCTTGTTGCCCGCGAGTCGCGCATACGGCGTCGCTTCCAGCCAGCCGCACCAACAGCTGAGATTTCCATCTGGATAGACAGTCGAATGAGTAAGACTTTGGAGCGAAGATGACGGGTCGTTCGACCGGCGCAGTTGAGGTATGGCCACGTCCGCAGGGAATATGTAAGCGCTGCTTGATTCTACATGCGGAGTGCTATTCAGCTCGAACGGGATGGCTTGGCTTTCGATGGATGGCACCTGCAGTAGCGCCATACTACCCAAACCAGAACTCGCTGTAAGGAACCGTGCGGAGCCTGGAATGGGCCTTGACACAGCCGCGACGCTTTGCTAGGTGCTTACTGGTCGGTGTCGCTACCGTTTCTGCGACAAGCTGGACCCAGCTGGAATCGGGCTTGCGTCAATATCCCCTCCATCAAGACGCCAACTTCCTAGGATGCATCCAGACTGTGGAACTTAGTATTGCAGATGCGGCCATCCAGCTCCGTGATCTTCCAGCCAGCAAGGTTGTCGGGGAAGCTTCAGCGGAAGCGCCGCGCCTCAGAGCGGAGGTCAACACGAGGGGGTACGCCGGGCTGAGGACATTCAGCTCCAGATGCAGCCTTCAGGCATGGCACTGGGTCTCAGCGTGCCCGCTCCGGCACATTTCTCTAACGTTACTAATAGTATTGTCGTTATTCAGAACATACGCTGTGGATCTCGCTTGCTTTCATATACGGACTTACGTAGGCACTCTTCCCGTTACTGCGGTATACCACAGCTAACGATCGGGGAAGGAATCTGAACCACGACCATGGATTCTGCAAGCCTCGATAAGATCAAAGACTTGGAATGGCCGTTTCGCGCCTCCCTCAGCAAGCAAGCTGCTGGCGGGACTCAACTCAATCTCCCATGGAGCGCGAGGTACATCGCGCCAGGCACATCGTTCAAATCAGCATTGGTCAAAGCGCCCGAAGGCCCTTTCCTAAAGCCCAGTCCGTTCGATAGCAAGAGCCTGGAGGAAGCGGCATATGTTTTTGAGAAAAACGACCTCCAAGGAAGCTTCATGGAAGCCACATCGACGTCAAGCGGCTTCAATTCCGAACATCTCAGCGTCAGCTTGGGTATCACTGTCGGTTGCTCATTCTTAAATGCCAGCGTGTCTGGACGGTACGACAAAAGTCTTCTGCAGAATTCGGATGTACGTTCGGAGCGGATCACAGAGATATGTTCATCACAGGACTTACATAGTGCAGGCATACAAGACGTCGCAGCGAGCCAGCGTCCGGCGAGGTCACTTGTCGTTCCAGAAGACTCCCGCGCTTTCAGCGTCTGCTCTACAGACACTGGAAACCGGAGGCCTTGCAGCCTTCCAGGAGATTTATGGCGATTACTACGTGGCCGGGATTAACATCGGCGCGGATTCTGGTGTGCTCGTCAGTCAATCATTAGACACATCCTTAAAAACAGAGTCCTTGAGTGTCACAGTCTCCGTGAAGGTCATCTTTTTCACCGTCAGCCACACTTGGACCCACGATGAGAGGGAGGCCCTCAGGGACTTCAAATTCTCGGTCACCGGCTTCAGCACTATGCGAGACATGCACGTGGAGCTCGCCGCGGCGGCAGGAGCATCGATCTTCACCATGCGGGAGGCTGCCTTGCGATTTGCCAAAATAAACAACACGCTTGATGTGATAGTTGACCGGGCACTGGAGAAGTATGGGTTGACGGGTTCAGGAGTGGTTGACCTGGATAACTTTGCAAACATATGCAGCTCCGGACTTGCCGTGGAGCTGGTCGTTCTACCGTACACATCACTGAGACAGGTTGCGAACTTTCTGAGTTAGACACGTTGGATGCCGAATTTCAGCAGTTGATACCGCATGAATGTCACATGATCCCTCTTCCGGCCCCGGATTACTCTGATGTGGCTCCATGGTCAAATCCGCTAGCCTTGTGGAGCGTGAAGATGGCGTAGCGAATACCTTACCGAGGATCGCTGAATGCGGATAGCAATAATTCAGCTTCCCGCTGACACCACGGCCCTCATGGCTCGCAAGACCTTACGCCCCTGGGGATGTTCCATGCCGCTAGATCCAAGGGGTATTCAGCTGGCCAGCACCTACGCCTGCAGTGTAAGATCACTGTACTGGACATCCATTGGTTTCATTCACTAGGCGAGATGCATGCATAGTCTACTGTTTAAGAAAAAACTCATACAGATGCTGGACTTCGGAACGTGGACTTGACCATCCGGCACGCTATGCACTCTTAACCTCTAGAACCAGCTCTCATCTATCAGATCTTCCCATTTACCGGTGTACCAGTGAGTTTCCTTCATGGCCTTGACTACTTCTTTCACAATACCCGCTTTGGTACTGGCGTCGAACTGGTCCAGCGATTGCTTGAAGGACGCCTGACATGCATTGAGATAATTGCATGTTTCCTTGTCAAACTCTCCTGCTGCTCGGCCTGGTTGTGTTCATCAGCACTCGGCATCCTGCACTCGGGAAGGGATCTTACCGAAGATGTTGCTCTTCTTGGTATGCAGCGCTTTGGGAATCCAAACCAGGTTTCCAGGAAGATTTGCGAGTGAGAGGATGTCATTCAGAATCGAGATAGGAGGATCCGCCCTGAGCGTCGGATGTGAGAATACTATTAGTAAAGCCGCTGCGGTGGTATCAACTTACCCTTCCATCTTGAATATGGCAAGCCCGGAGATGAACTGCCTCTCAAAGACGTGGTCAAGCGTGAAGCCACCTTCTGGCCCCTTTGACGCTGTCGTGGTTGTCATCGCGCCCTTGGTGGGGTCCCAACGAAGCTGCTTGTCCATATTGCCCGACAGGTTTGGCTCGTCAAGCGCTCTGGTGATGGCCATCTCGAGTATGGTTTTCTACAACAGCAGTGAATACTAGATCTGTGGACGGCAATTGAAGAAACTTTGGCGAACCTGAGACTTTTCTCCGGAAGCGGTGAAGTGCTTGGACCCTGCAGCGACATAAGTTGCTGTACATAGTTTGGGACATTGAATGCTTACGGAGGAATTCCTCAGTCTTGTTGATAACTCTACTCATGATGTCCTTATGCCGATGAGTTGCAAGTGCGAGGGATGAGATCACTGTACGATTCTTATAGGAATGATTTGGGTACTACAGAACGAATCGTTTTGCCTGTGAGTTGCACTGTCTATATAATATGCAGCTTCTCAGTTTTAAACCCAGGTATCTGGGTGCCTCCGATGTCCTGGTAGTCTCAGCTCTTGTTGAGCTGAATTCCTACGCTCGTTATCATCTTCCACAGCCAGCCACAGCCCTTCAGCCTTCTCAGCTCTTCCCAGCTCGGTTAAGCTATTAATAGCTCTGTCAGCCCTCAGAGTATCAACCCACACTTCATCCTCAGCCCTTCTCTTCGCTTCCAATCTTCCTCTCTAGTTTTGCAGTAAAAAAGAATGCAAGCAAGCAATCCAATCCCCAGTTCCGTTACGCCTACGCTGTACACAAAGTTCAACCCTACACCTAGCAAAAGACTGCCTGGAAAGGAATGCGCTTAACACACCACACCACCAAACGCAGCCCCCTCCCTCAAATCCTGCACCAACTCCCCAACATTACTCAAATACTTCCCCAACAACCTCATCTTCTCCTCCGTCGTCCTCATATCCTCACCACCCCCACCCCCATCCCCATCGCCAGCTCCCTCCCCCACAGATCTCATCCTCTTACTCGGACTCCTCTGCACGCCCGTATTCGGTGCACTACTACTGGTCCCGCCGAATTCCCCTCCTGACGGCGCCGCCTCAGGCATCAGGTAGAAGTACAGGAATTCCAGCACCTTGAGCTTCACAGACTGGGATGTGCTGCGCGATTTGAAGAGCGATGTTACGGTGAGCAGGCCATCGATGGCTTCGAAGGTGCGCGTGTTACTTGGGTGGGAGAGTAGGGAGGTTACGAGGGTTAGCAGGGCGGCGGATTGAATTGCGGGGGGGTTTGTGGAGGGGTCGAGGAGGTCGAGGAGGAGCTGTCAAGGATATCAGCAGTGCGGTGAGGCAAGTGTGTGGTGGACGTTTGGATCGTGTGTCTGAGGGTATGCGGTGATGCAAACGGCGAGACCTCCGGACGGGGTGGCTTACGTTCATGTAGATCTCCCGTCCGAAGAGGGAACGCGAGGGCGGGTGGAGAAGAAGTATTCCTTGTAAGAGGTCGAGCGCTGAGAGGATGAGAAGGTCGTTCTGACCGCCTGCTATGGTGTCAGTCCGCTGCTGTTCCATCTCGGAGTGTTGTGTGACTGAGATTACTTACTACTGCCCATGCCGAGCAACCGCTCCAGACATAGTACTAATCGTAACGCGACTGTGATTTGAGCCCACTGTCAGTTCAATCCACCTGGGCATCTTGCCGTAAACTCCCAGATGTTGTCCCCATACCATTCCACTCAAATCCCTCTTGCAACCTAAAGAACTCCCTAAATGCCAGGTCCTCAACCATCACACCCAACTTCTTCGGACTCGACGGGCTATGCGATGTTGATATGGCAGATGCGCGCCGTCCATGTTTCTTCGGCGACGAGGAGTGTACGGGCTTCGAGAGACATATTTCTGCCAGCAGGCCCTCTATTTGCCGTAGGCCCTTGCGGATCTTCCCACTGTCTTTGGAGCTGATGTTGTCGAAGGAGAGGGAGAGCAGCGCTTCCATTGTGAGTTTGCTGGCGCGCTTTGGTTGTCGGAGGCGAAAGTGGTAGCGAAATGTGGAGAACCTGACAGCAGACTGCTAGCTGCACGAGCTATTTTCAACGTAGTCTGTGCTTGAAGCTAAGGCATGGGGAAAGGGCGTGAGATGAGGTTGGATCGAGTGTTTATTTTTTCCGTCATTGGGTTGGGCGGGCAATTATCGATATCATTTACGCCAAGGCCTCCAATATCGACGTCAGCTCATTCCTCCGCTGCACGGCATAAGGACCTCGGGAGGTTTTATCACGAGTCAGAAGGCATTCAAGTAACCCATAACGATGGTGTGATCAAAGCCCTGGAGCGGTGTTCCAGGCGCCTGAAGGGCTTCGTATCATGGACTCATCTGCTCTAGAGGACGAGCTCGCGCTTCTGGCAGCGATGTATCCAGAGGAAGTCACGTACGATACGAGAAGCTCAGAGGTCACGTACGTCCAGAAAGATACACATGCCAATCTCCGGCTTCGCATTCCGCCAGGCTATCCGTCAACTGCGTTGCCAGATGTCATCTCCGCATCCGGCGTTCAGAAACAAGATCTTCGAGAGCAGATTCGCCGGATAGAGAAGGAGCTGCTCTTAGGAGAACCGGCGCTCGACGCTATCATTGCTGGGTTTCAAGAACTTGCAGCATCGGTGGGAGAGAATGATAAGAGAATAATCGGCTCTAATGCAGATCATGCAAGTGGCGGCCGAATGAGACCCTCCAGCAAAGAGCCAGTGGACAAGAAGCTGACCACGATCGTCTGGCTTCATCACCTCCTCGCAACGTCGAAGCGCAAGCAGGTTCTCGCGCCCCCACTTCCTGGCGTTTCAGGAGTTTCCAAGCCAGGCTATCCTGGGATTCTGATATTCGCCGGGCCCGCCGGGAGCGTCCGCCAACACGTTCAAGAGCTGAAGCAGCTCAAGTGGCAAGCCTTCCAGGTTCGATACGAAGAGGAAGAGGAGTGGAAGCTCACCCATGGCGCAGGAGTTATCGAGGTCGAGACGATGGGAGAAATGGTCAGAGCGATTGGCGAGAAGCGCAAAGATGAGTTTATGGGCGTCATGAGGATGAAATGATGCGGCGTGTTCTGGCTGAGTATTATGCTCCGACCTGAATCGACCCTAAGATTCAGCTTCGCAGGCCTGCGTCAAGGGGCCTGACGAGGAAACGTCTCGATACAGACTGGATCTAGCAGCCAGCTTCGCTCAACAGCCATAGCGCGTACTGGACAGCATCACCCAAGGAACTACATGTTTTATTACACCTTCCACCTGCCTCCCTCAAATGGGCGAACAGTGTTGCGAAACGGCCGCTGATGGCTATACTGCTACCCTACGTTAGAGGAAGGTGGGGGTATTTACTGGTGAAGCGCCGGCCGCTTGACCACCCTCCAATACCATCAACAACACCAAAGAACAATTTGTATAGATCGTGTCTGGACCTTGTATTGACTGAAGATACATCTAATGAACCAGTCCCCCTCTATAAGCACCTAAATACTGTGCCGAGCAGCCCTTTGGTCGTGCTCCGTTAAGCGGCCGCTTCCTCCGTAAATACCCCCTCCTTCGTATCGTGTTCAAAGCCTCACAATCAACCACTCTGAATTCTATTCTGCTGTGACTGCGATGCAGCAGGTTATGCGTAGCATTTTGACCATGGTCTGGGTGCAAAATACGGAGACTAGATGCCGGATCAGATGGAGGTGACGATTCAGGCCTCGTAGATGTATATGTGTATGCAGACAGGTAGTATCACAATGTCATTGAGGTCCAGTGCTATTGCAGGTGTACCGGTACCTTGTCGGACCCGGCCTCTAAATCGCTTGTTTGGACCCTGAGCAACCTGCACGCATGTGAACATGTGGAAGGTCAACATGATCGCCGCGCCACGCGACGAGTACGACATCACCACCTGTTATGTTCTGCTCGCTGCTGCCTTGAACTCTTAACAGGTCCGATTCTTCCTGTGTACATATTGTAACAGCATGTTCACCTTTTCGCGCATTCTTGACAGTAGTCTCTAAATCCTTACTCCCCTTCTACCCGCGCACCGCAAGCTCCTCAGAGCTCTACAATCCCGTCGGCGAAGCTTCTTGAAGCTATCATAGCTCCACTCGGCGCCTACATCTTAGCACATCGCCTAGGTATACTACCTTCAACCCAGCCTCGTGATGGCTTCCGAACCAATCCAAAATCCGGCGAGGCTCTCGAGCACCTTCCAATCCCCCAATCCCATTCCAACGCGCCGGAGCTCCTGGGGCGTCCTCGCGAACGGCTACGCCTCTCACAGCCACACAAAAGGCACCAGTATGGGCACCGGCGGCGAAAGCAGTACCTCGCCCACCACCTCCAAATCCCCGCCCCGATCGCCTACGCGGCCGCCCTCGAAGGGAGCTGCTGCCTCGAACCCAGTCCTCCGCCCTCTTCCCGAGGACGCCTGGATAGCCAAGTCCCGCAAATCGCCTATACACTCACACGCCCCGCCCTTCATGATTCCACAACCGCGAGACTCCTCGCTGGGCGCCCTCCGGGACGGTATCCCTTCCTCCCCACCTCCCACAGCGGAGCCGCACCCGCAGCAACCGCACACATACCCGTCTGCCCTCTCTCCGCCGCCTTCAGACCCCTTGCGCAGCATAGGCGACGAGCTGATCTACCAGAAAAGCGCGACGTGGTCGGAGGAGAAGGAGAAGATACTGCTAGGGCCGTATGATTACCTCTACGGACATCCGGGAAAGGACATTCGGGCGCAGATGATTGCGGCGTTTAATGCGTGGCTGAAGGTGCCGGAGAAGAGTTTGGAGGTTATTACAAGGGTGGTGGGGATGTTGCATACGGCTAGTCTGCTGTGAGTATGGCCATGGCTGTTGCGATTCGCATGCATCCAGCGGCAGAGCACGCCAGGCGGGCGGAGGTTGTAGACAGGAGAGGAGCCTAACACTGACGATGGACTGTTGTACCAGGGTCGACGACGTAGAGGACTCCTCCCTCCTCCGCCGCGGCGTCCCAGTCGCAAACTCCATTTTCGGCACAGCCCAGACGATCAACTCAGCCAACTACGTCTACTTCCTCGCCCTCAAAGAGCTCTCGAAGCTGAGATCCCCGCAAGCGATAGACATCTACACTGAGGAACTGCTGAACCTGCACCGAGGCCAGGGCATGGATCTCTTCTGGCGCGACACCCTGACCTGCCCCAGCGAAGCCGACTACCTCGAGATGGTCTCGAACAAGACTGGGGGACTGTTCCGGTTGGCCGTGAAGCTTATGCAGGCGGAGAGTGCTTCGGACATGTAACTCTCCCTTCTCCATTGTTCTCTCGCTAGTTTTCCAACGTCACTCTCTATGTTAAGGCGGATCCTCAAAGAGCAGAAGAGAACCACTCTGACCCGCGCTCCGAAACAGCGACTGCGTCCCCCTAGTAAACACAACAGGCCTCCTCTTCCAAATCCTCGACGACCACCTCAACCTCTTGTCGCCAACCTACACAGCCCTCAAGACCTTCGCCGAAGACCTGACAGAGGGGAAATTCTCCTTCCCCATTATCCACGCTATCCGCGCCGACCCGTCCAACCTCGTACTCATCAACGTCCTGAAGCAGAAGACCAAGGACGAGCAGGTGAAGCGGTATGCCGTAGATTATATGGGCCGCATGGGCAGCTTTGAGTATAGTCGGCGGGTGATCAGGCAGCTGAGACGGAAGGCGCTGGGGCTGGTGGAGGAGCTGGAGGGACGGGTGGAGGGGGGCCGGGAGGGTGGGGAGGGGATTAGGGCCATTTTGGGGAGGATGAGGGTGGAGTGATGGCGCGATTATAGAGTGAGCTGTGAATACTGTACATGTGAAATATGGGTGGCAGGATGAGCATCTCTGGCGTTGGGGAAATGCAGCTGGGGAGTGGGGGACTTGCCGTTTGCTGCATAATACGCACTTTTTGGTCAACGGTGGAACTTTATGAGAGGGGAGAACGCCGCGGGTTAACAGCGGTGTTGGTGCCGAGGCGCCGTCGATCTCGACGGAGCGTCCCAAGGTGAGCAGACATGCTGCTAGATTCGAGGCGATTGGAGACCACTATCTCCATCTTGCTGGTAGCGAGCACAGACGGCGACGGAAGGGGTGGTGGATTTGTTCATTCAGCCGCAACACGATGGCAGACACGTATACGCTCGCGAGTGGGATGGCGGAACTGTAAGATTGGATCGACAAAATCGTCTTCGTTCGACACCGTTCCCATCTCATATCACGATCCTCTCAAAACTATACTTCCCCACCTTCCGACTAATCTCATACCCAATCTCCCTCTTACTCTTCACCTTGACCTGCCCACCCGCACTAACCTTAGTCTCGGGCACTTTACTCTCAACCTTGAACCCAAGCGGCAAGATTCTCCTCTCCGTCGCCTCCTCCGGCGTGGCCAGCGCAACCGTAACAGGCTTCCCCTTCCTCCTTTGCGCCTTCGCGCTCGGCAAGCCCGGCGTCCGTTGCTTCTTCGCCCCGTACCTGCAGAAATCGTCCAGCAAGCCGCGCATAAAGCTCGCCTCGTGCGTGCCCTCCAACGCAGCCGAGATCTCGAGGCGCAGCGAATGCAGCAGGTCCTCTGCACCGCCGTCTGCAGCGTTCAGCCCGGAGACGAGCCATCCTGCCGCGCCGATAGCGTCAAGAGCGCAATTGAGCAGCTCGGCGATGATCACGATGCCGCGATCTGATGGATCGCCGGCCTCGTCGCTTCGCCCGCTGGGGCCGGCGTCGATGTAGCGCGCCGTCCAGCCGCCGTCTGCGAGCTCAATGCGCAGGATCTGGATCAGGAAGATGATTTCGTGGTGGGAGAGGGTTGCGCGGAGGGCGGAGGTGATGTGGGAAGCGGGGAAGGAGTGGAGTTTTGTGAGCGCGGTGCGGAGGCTGCGGCTGCGGATCGCGAGGCCGTCTTCTAGGGTGCTGAGGGCGTGATCGAGGTCCGAGGAGGCGGCGTCTTCGGCTTCGGCGAGGTTGGCGTCGTCTTCGTCGTTGTTTGTGTCGTTCGCTACACTGGTCGTGCCGTTGGTGAGGAGGAGAGGTGTGGGTGCTGGAATAGGTTTGTTGTCGAGGCTGCGGATGAGGAGTTGGATGGCTTTGACGGTCTGGAATATGTCGAGGTAGGAGGGCCCGTCGAGAATGCTGTGGAGGAGGTGCATCTCTGGATCGTACTCGACGATTGCAGAGATGATGTCCGGTGAAGCAACGGAAGTTGAGCTATTACTGGCACCAGGTGACGTCCGCAGCGCTTGGGTGACCATGTCGGGTGTGAGAAAGCCCGAGATGATAAGCCAATGAAAGAGGTTCGGCGGATAAAACTGGATGGTGATTGATCCTGGCGTATCTTCTTCCCCTTGGAACGAACCATCACTTGGGTGAACCTGGGAGAAAATCTTACGCAGCGCGTACAATGCTTTGTGCCGATGAGCCTGGCGGTACCTGCTGGAGATGTGGCTCGGAAACTGCCAATCAGGAAGTGGACACTCTTCCGCCAGCACAAGCGATTGATTTTCAGATGCAGAACTTGTTCCGTCGACTTTGTCGACATTCGCTCTTACTCCACTGTCTGACTGGGTATCACCGTCGGCTCTACTTGGCTGTTTGATACCATTCGGTAAAACCTTCGGTGCTGAGTCTCCGGCATTTGGCAGGGTATTCTCTGCAAGTGAAATGCCCACACTCTCGGCAAACAGCCTCTCGAAGTCATCAATGTCGCCGTTCTCAAGATGTCTATCAAGCTCGGCCATTTTCTCGGACCAAGTGGAATCCAATGATCCTGTAGGGCCGACCAGACAGCCCTTCGGAGGCTTAGCCAAAGTACTTTGACGAATCTTCTCTGTTCTGGCGCTCTTCTTGCCGATACCCCTTCCAATGGAATCTATCAACAAGCCCTCAGTTGCTCGGGTCCGCTTCGACGGAACCACGTCGGTCCCGATGTGTATACCAACCAGTTCATCGTCAGCCAAACCAACAGCCAGTCCAATGTCCCCAAAGTAGGTCAAAAGGGCTAACGATCCAAGGTTCGCGGCTGATTTGTCCTGCTTCCTTTTGGAGTTGGCTACTGCTTCAGCGTCCGAGCCAAGCGGTATCACGGCCTGGACGGAATCGTATTTGACATCGTAAATTCCACATGTTGTTGCTGAAGATGCCAGCAGGAGCGAAGAAGACAGGCGGACGAAGCTTTGAAATGAAGAGGCGTCATCACCAAGCTCCGAAACTATCCGTGGGAGTGTCCCTGAGAGGTCGTAGGTCGTGATTGTGCCAGCGAGCAGTTGATGAAGTGTACCAGACAGGGCATGGATATTATACAATGGCTGGCGTGCCGGATCGTGGCTTCTAACATGAGGAGTGGGTAAATCCCAGGTCAGCAGATGTTGCATAGCTGGTCGACGGCTGGTGATGGAATCCGGCGACCTCGGCCGAAGTGCGTAAAGCTGTAGCTTTCGTGGCTTGAGTTTTGTGACCGCGGGTTGAGCTTCAGCAGTCACCACGCAAAGTAGCCTGGTAGCTTCTAAAAAGCCGGAATCGCCGTCCAATGTGGGATCCAGTAGAGCAATGACATCTTCGCGACCCTTCAGAAGACCTTTTCTAGCGGCGGCCGCTTCGGTGTAGGAGATGTGCTCAACGGCAATACCATTTTTCTCTTGGGAAGAGTCCTGTGAGCTATATAGGCTACTAAGATTCTCACTCCATCTCTCCGTTGTGAGGTCCGCTGACAGGCACACCACTTGGCCGTCCGCATGAATAATCAAAACATCCTGGATGGGGTCTCGCGATTGTGAACTGGCATTGTTGGCGAGAACATCGACGGAGACGACCGGTTTCGACGACTTCGGGAGAGCGTATGAAGTTTTCGTGGGATTACCGGCGAATGCTTTTTTCACGTTTTCGGCGAAGCAAACAATTTGCGGCCTCGATTCACCCGCTGAGCCTGCTATAGAGGCATATGTGAGACGTCGCGACCCCTCGGATCCTTTGAGGTATGCCGAGCATGGCGGCGCAGTGAAGCGGGTCTGGGGCGGCAAGGCGTAAGAAGCGACAAGGCGCGGGTTTTGTACCTATGCAAATTTCTTAGCACCGCAGAAACTGGCCGACCTGCCTCCCATACATTGTAGATATTTATCCCTTCCGCATCCACGCTCACAGCAACTTCTGTCCTCTTTCTCTTCTTGGACCGATTTAATGCATGTACAGTGGATGCAAGCGCGCGTCCATGGACTGAGGGCGGCAGTGAAGCCAAGGTATGGGGCGTCTCAATCGCCTTGCCGAACGACATGACGTTTGCCAGACGGGGAAGAATGCGTCTGCGTGGATCGTCAAGCAAGGGAGACTGCGAGTGATTCCTTCATACACCGACACGGCGTCCAAAAAACTTCGAGATCGCAGGCCAGGCCGGGCCTTTAGATGATCCGCGGCTGAAGTGGCCGAAATCTTGGCGCGTACAAGCATCGCGTCTGACGACATGAAGCGCGTCTGCCGACAGAGAGTACTTTGACTTCAACCACCCCAACAAAACACCCTTTGAATGACCTTGAAGTCGACTCTCCTGCGCCTCATCCTCGACCTCCTTGACCTCCACTCCGACATCGGTTTCGAAATGATATGACGGACTGCAAGCTTCATGGCGCTTGCCGCGCTGGTTACCGCAATGAATCTGAGTGACAGGTCGAGCTTGCACCCCTTTTTCGACAAGACCCGCCGTGAGTCAGCCTCATGCGGCACCAAGATCAACGCTGAAGTGTCGACCACAGGTAGTAAAGCTTCAACTGCCCTGGAACAGCAACCAATCTCGCCAGCCCTCGATAGAACTACAGCGGACGCCGGATCAGATGCCGGAAGCAATGAACCTAAACAGAAGAAGCGGGCTGGCAGAAAGAAAGTCAAGGCTGAGGCTTCGGTTGGCACAGCCAGACAGGGATCGATACTGTCTCTCACCCAGGGTCGGGTCGCAGAAGGGCACGCTGGCAAGGATGAAGCTACCTCCTTGGAGGAGGACCCTAATCTCAACCGCCGGAAGCGTCGCAGGACTACCCCCGCAGAGGATGGTGTTGTGCCGACTCCTGGAGAGCTACAGCCTGGTGCTCCATCGTCACTATCCTGGCACGAACAACTACTCGCAGAGGCAGAGAAGGGCTCTGAGGTGGTACAGCTGAGAAGCCTAGGTACAGCAGCCGCGGAACATAGCGCAAGCGACAGCGCTCTTGTCCCACAGACACCACCGCTCGATGAGCCTTCAATCTCGTTGCCTTCGCCGGCACAGATCGAGGTCCCCCACTCACCGCTACCGCTGGCCCAGAGCCGCCTGAGCACGCTGGACGTCGCTGGTCATGGAGTCAATCTTGAGCAGCCTTCAGCATCTCCACGAAAGATGACGCCTAAGAAGATGCTGAGGCTGAATGCCGCAGGCAGGTTCAGCTCGCCCGTATCAAGTCCACAACCAGCACCGAGCGACATTGCGAAGAAAATTTCGCCTGGTAAAAGGAAACGGTCTAGAAGAGTCAAAGGTCACAAAATGATTGTGATACGGTACGGACAAACTGGTCAGGATAGAGCTGCAATCGGTGGGAGAATTCAACAGATCCTGGATTCCAACAAAACAGTGGCGGATTCGCCGACAAAGCCCAAGAAGCCAGTTGGTCCACCGAAGCCCACCCATCCATTTTTCCTAGGGAAGACAAGTCAGGCCTCTGGCAATGGATTAGAAACGGGCTCTAAAGCGACCACTCAAGACACTTCTGAACAGGCCGATGTCTTCTCTAGACCTATGAAGACGGCTTCGACACCTGGAAAGATTAGGGCTCTAGCTCTAGCAGCTCACCCTCCAGACTCCGGTATATCCTCCTTTGCCGCTTTCGGAATAGAGCGAGCTAAGTTGTTAAGATATCCGGGATCGAGAGAAGCCCCTTGGCCTTGGAAAGGCACAGCTCATGTTCGGGAGCCGTTAGATGTCCAGTTGGTGTCTGGTCTTGTCCGGGAACCGTCCGCATCCGTGACTCGTGGTTCCTTACCTGGTCGTCGGAAAATGAAGGATAACGTCATTCAAATATCTACACAGGAGAATCTTATCTCCTTGTGCTCATGTGCTCTGGGCATCAGTTCAAGGAAGGATGCGCCGCATGAAGAAGACCGGGTTCCGGAGATGCTACGTGTGCCGAAAAGATTACTTGTGACTGGGGCAGACATGCAGTGTGCCGCCCGAAGGGAACTTCGATCATTCTCTGCGCTTCACAATCAGGATGAGTCAGAAATTTTCACCGCAGATGATCACCTTGCGATCGCCCATCCAGCATTGCGAAGGCTGTACAAGAGTATCAACAGCACACTGACAGCGTGGGAGAAAGGCCAATGCGAGACGCGGACCTGGACACAGAAGTATGCGCCAAAAGTTGCCGAAGACGTTCTTCAGTCCGGCACCGAAGCCATTATCCTGAGGAACTGGCTTAGGGGTCTGACTGTTTCGGCCGTTGAGGGCGCCTCCAAAGATGCTCCCAAAAGCTCTGGCCTATCGTCTCGAACAACTGCTGCCAAAGCTGCGACTAGCAAGCCGGTCAAGAAAAGGAAGAAAAGGAAAGCTGAAGATCTTGACGACTTCATCGTCGACAGCGATGGAGAGATGGCTGAAATGGACGAACTCACTGGTCCGGAGGATTTGATAACTGGAGAGTTAGGACGCGCTCAAAAAAGATCCGTAGTCCGGACCGGTGATCTCGAATCTCGAAATGGCCGTCCAAGCAAGGTGGCGAATGCCGTGTTGCTGAGTGGACCGCACGGATGCGGCAAGACAGCTGCTGTTTATGCCGTTGCGAAGGAGCTCGGTTTCGAAGTCTTCGAGATCAACCCGGGCAGTCGTCGAAGCGGCAAGGATGTGCTCGACAAGATCGGCGACATGGTGGAAAATCATCTTGTTCAGCGAGGTTCTGGAGGTTCCACCGCCGGGAGTGTTGCAGATGATATGTCACGCCTTTCGGACGCCCTCAACAAGGACCTCCAGAGCGGTCGGCAAGGCACCATGAACACTTTCTTCAAGCCCGCCATTCAGAAAAAAGCTTCACCAAAGAGCGAGCACCAAACTGCCAAGCCCCGCAAGGATACGTTGAAGGAGGCTGCGAAGCAATCCCAGCCGCGGCAGCAAAAGCAATCCCTAATTCTGCTCGAAGAGGTTGACGTACTCTTCGAAGAGGACAAGCAGTTCTGGATGACCGTTTTCAATCTCCTAAACCACTCCAAACGCCCGATCATCATGACATGCAACGACGAGAACCTCATCCCTCTAGACGCTCTTTCGTTACATGCCATACTCCGGCTCATCCCACCGCCGTCCGATCTTACTACAGACTATCTTCTCCTCCTGGCAGCGAATGAAGGCCACTTACTCAAGCGCGAGGCCGTCTTAAGCCTTTACGAGTCAAAACAGCATGACCTCAGAGCTAGCCTTACAGAGCTCAACTTCTGGTGTCAGATAGCAGTGGGCGACCAAAAGGGCGGGTTGGAATGGATGTTTCAACGGTGGCCACCTGGCAGCGACGTGGATGAACATGGCCGCACCATTCGGGTTGCCAGCAAAGGAACGTATCAAGCGGGCATGGGCTGGCTTGGCCGTGATTTAATCGCTGCAACCGAACATGTCGGCTTTGACAGGGATTTTGAGGTGCTCCGCGAGATTTGGGACAACTGGCACTTGTCAGCGGACTGGGATCATGACAGTTTTCAGAGTACCGCTTGTTTGGAATTACTTGGAGATGGGGATTCTTTGGCGAAAGACACTAAGGCTCTGAGTGATTTGGAGAGCCTGCTGGATGCGGCGAGTGCGGCCGATGTGTACTGCAAGATCGGCCTTACCACTGGCAGACAGGTATGTCCATCTACCTGAACCCTGATGTTCGTTCACTCAATACTTGGCAGGAGAGCATCGACACCACCCAACCTCCGATAACCGACAAGGCACGCTCGAACTACATCGAAGGCCAACCGGTCCTTCAAGCCGACCCCATCACCGACTACTCCGCCACAGACACCAAGCTCGCCCTAAGCACGCACCTAAGCATCGAACGCCAACTCGCCGCCTCCGACTCTACCGAACTCGAGCCCACTTGTCAGCCGCTCACTGAATCAACTCTAATCAACCACATCCGAGCTTACACGAACCACACCCGCACCCACGAGCCCCTCACCCGTACCGCCTTCTCCACCGCCTTCGACCCCATCTCCGAGCCCGCCCTCCACGCCTCCCACTCCACCACCACCGCACTAACAGCCTCGTCCTTCGACCGCCCCTTCAGCATCCTCACGACCGATCTCGCGCCATATGTGAGGAGCATTGCGGCCTATGATCTCAGGCTCGAGGAACAGCGGGTGCGGCTTAGTGGCCTGCTTTCGGAGGGTGGACGTGGGAACGGGAAGAGGGTCCGCACGACGAGGGCCGCGAGGAGTGCGCTCGAGGGCGGGAAGAGGGAGAACACGAGGCGGGAGAGGTGGTTTGGGAAAGAGCTGAATCTTGCTTTGGTGTTGAGGACGGGTGGAAAGGAATGGGCTGGCGCGGTTGGCGGCATGAGGGAGGGGGATGGGGTGGCTGGGTCTGTAGCTGGGTCCGCGGATGAGGGGAGTGCGGTGGATAGGCAGCTAGATGCTGAGTAGGGAGATGGAAGGGGTGAAGGTGGAAGCATAGTCGGTGGCATTGCTCATTTACGCGCACATTTGCTTTTTGCCTCATGGCTGGTGGACTCGGCGCTGCGCACTGCAACGGCGCAGGATGGAGAGGACCGACAACTTTTGCTCTTTGCTCTTTGCGGTTTGGCGACCTCAATTTGTAGCATTGCAGGAACGGGTGCTGGCGAGATGTGCATAGTCGGTATATCTGCGATATATAACATCAGGATTTAGTCTGAAGAGAGCGAGTTCTTGGTCATTGTTCTTTCCCCAACGGAGGGAGACAAGAGGCCTCGCCGCACACACGGATGAGTCTACACGACATAACTATCGTATCTCATCCTTTCTCTGCTGTTGATTCGAGGGTTAGGAGACCAAACTGTGTAACCGCATGAGCAGAAAGGACGTCTCTGGAGTGCAAATCAAAAAGCGCCCTGACTATGCCAAATCCGCAATCCAAAGCCGCTTGCTCATCTCAGACCTCTGTAGCACCCAGGATGAGACCAATGGAAACCCCAACTCTCTTCTTGATTGGGCTGCACCGCATACAGATCCTTCCAGAAGAACATGTCCCTCGTCCTCTCCTCACGCAGGCCTAAGTCCGCATAAGCGCCCGGAACAGGCCATCGGGCATTGATATACACCTTTTCCGCGGCTTCCCAGCCGAAGTGGCCAGCCAGTTCCTAGTCGGTGACCGCCACGATCCTGTCGTTCTCCACGATGATGTTCGACTAGGTGAGGTCGTTGCGCATGAGTCTGGTATCGATGTCCCGGTCATCGCCGAAGAGGATGTCTTATCCTGTTTCCTTTAACCGTAATTCTTGCGGGAATCGGGATCGGGCATAATGAAAGGGGGGGTGGTTGGCGGAGGGAGCACGGATGGTTTGTAGGGATTACAAGATTGAACGTGCCTGGTTCTTAAACGAGGTCTTTTGCTCCGGTGTCGGGCATGGGCAGGCGACGTTCAGCGTGACTCCGGGGATCCGCTGCTGAACTAGGACAGCCCTATCCTTGATCTGTAGGCCAACGATGGGAGACAGGTTTTTGGATCATGACAGGGAGTACAAGAAGCATCTTGCCTGCGAAATAAATTTCGCGAACCTTGACATCGCCCAACACCGTACGCGCAAGCGCAATGGCTTCGACTTCATTGGAGTCTACAATCGAGCGGTCCATTTCCGCCATTTCCGCCACTTTGCTTTCGCCAGCCTTCTTCGGGTCATTCGACTAACATCTAGGCCGGAAAAAAATCTCCAACACGGCGGGGGTTTCCTTGGAAATAAGTTTTTGCTGTTCTATATTTCATGGATCATTCCACTATGATAATCTTGTGTAGAGAGAGGCGATAGAGGGACGTCATGCTGGACAGGGTACGGCGTGGACAAGCGATGTACAGAAAAAGTGCTGCGAAGACACGTGATGACGATGAAGATTGGCGTGAGGTAGGTCACATGAGCGAACGACGAAGTCTTGCGTGAGACGAAGAGGTGGCACGCAGAGCGTATAGAATATTGCATGAGGCTCGCAGCAGCGTGAGCTGCTGGAGGTTCTGTCACGGAAACTCAATGAAACAAATGACGCCGGGGTTTGCTTGCCACGAGACTTTTCCTCTCGTGTCTGTGAACATATCGTGGTAATGCAGATAAAGGATTGAACTGGAAGGCCAATAGACGGTGGAACAACGCCAAGGATCTTCTAGATATGGATTCTGCTATGAGAGCGCTGTGGGTGTCAATAATATCGATGCTGACTGGATACCGGTGATGTTGCCATATGTCAGATTATTTACAGCGGCGCGCCCGGATCACCGTAGTTCAACGCCGATATCAGACGTGCGAATCCCATTACCCCGAAGAAGCAGCTTGACGTCGTCCTTGCAGCTTGAGGCGTGTTTCGTTAAACCCCATCTGTGGATCTCATTGATCCAGTGCTCCAGTCGCTCCACTCCAGAACTCGCGGTGCATCCTGACTCGCACAACAGCTTCATGGTACACCCATTCCACAATCCCTCCGGTCCGAGCGGATTTGGCTTGAGGATCCAGAACTGAAAATCCGCTCCCACAAACGTCAAGGCGAAGTGCATCATGTGCGCCTCGTCAGCTTCAGTCCAATGCCTCTTCAGGAGTCGGATCGCCTTCGACCTTAGCAAAAAACGGTTGTATAGGCCCAAGGACCCTACTACGGCCGCCTGGGCTCGGGCTTGCACGTCCGATTCGCCATCCTTCTTAAACTCGATGGTGAAGTAAGGGCATATAAGCCAGCCTTCATGCACGTAAAGGATGCTTCTGATCTCGCTCCGGTAATCCTCGTTGAAACCCACGAGCGACAGCCAGTAGGCGCAATCAGGCCGGGAGTCGAACTTATACTCGGGAGGCCCTTCTGTTTCGACACAGCGTGGGGGAGGGACCCACTTGCTTGATTTCGCTGGAGCGACGAGCTGAAGCATTCGCTCCGCACGCCACTTTCCATCTTCGGAAGCCTCGAGACTTGGATCTTTCCTCTTCAGGAATTTTTCGTTTGCAAACCAAACGTACTCCTGTTCACAGAAGTTCCTGAATTTCATAGCTTGGTAGGCTTTGGTGATGGCTCTGGTCGAATCACTGGAGAAGGATAGCCAGATCTCCGCTGCGTCGATCCCTTCAAGAGAGCTGTACGGAAACTTTTCTCCTTCGCTTGGAACGCTGGTACCAAAATGCCAGAATGGCCAGGTTGGACCCGTGTAAGGCTCGAGTATGTTGATGGGTGTAAGCGTGTCGTTTTTGTGATCCGTATCATCAATCACAATGTTATGGATAGCTGCGGCATACTCCTCAAAACCAGGCTTGCGAGGGTTCATAAGGTTTATGCGCGATGTCTTTGCGGACGCGGTGGCGGTGTACGACCGTGAGCTTGTAGTAGTGCCGAAGGGTCGAGAACTTAGACTAGGGGCGCTCTCAGGGATCGAAGGCGGCTCGGTCAGTTCCTCGGCATCGATTCCATACTGCGAGATACCCTTCGTGATCTCATCAACACTTCTAGCAGCAGTGTTGATCTTCTTTCTCCCTGCTGCAGCACCGCCTCTTCCTCGTCCTTGTCTGCTTCTCCCACCGGGCACTATAGGTTTGCGTTGGACGTTATCTCCTTCTGCGCCGGTAACAGGAGGTCCCATGTAGTTTGGCTGTGGTACACGGCTGCTTTGCATGGTATGAGACCGTGTTACTCTCCCGTCTTGAATGTCTTCACTGTTCGGCCCAGTACCGGTCTTCTGAGCTCGTTCTTGAGCAATAGGCGCCATCTGGTATACTTTCGTATCGCGAACTCTTCTCCACAATGCAGCCGTCCTATCCGGGTGTGTCGCAAACGGCCGGCGGTACACCCTCTCCGCGGTAGTAATCTTCGTTGTGTTTGTCCCAAGAGGACGCTGCGGCTGCACGCGCGACTGAGTGCAAGTCCCGCCATTTCGTGAATGGCTTAGCGGTTTCACCGGTAAGGCGACGGGTGACTTGTGTTGGTGGGCGTTGTCCGCGATTGCTGTGAGAGGTTGTCGTTGCCTGCTTGGCGCATGTGCAGGGCGATGCGAGTTGGATGTCCGAGGCGGGCCGCTTTGGGGAACACCGAGAACCTCAGGTTTTGTGTCTTGCGCGCGCGGCAGCGACGAGCGCGCAGCTTTCGTGTTGGGGCGTGGGTTTCTGTCTCCGCTGGTCGGTATAGCTGTTTCGCGCATCGCTGCGTTCCGTATGAATTCTTGGTATGTTGGATTGCGAGAGGATGTTGCGGGAGCGGATATACTGTTGCTATCGGAGACGGCGATATCTGGATTTGGCAGGACAAATATTCAGTTGGGGAAGTTCTCGCATGATCTGGAGGGAGCAGTGGGATCAAGAGGTTTTGGAGTGCAATTGCATTGTTAAGTCCAGTTCGACCGCCGGGTGTTTGAAAACAATGTTGCTATGCACGTGACTCAGCCCTCCCACGCCATCCATGCAGGTACTGTACAGTCTTCCACCCAATCATCGACCGTGCCTGTACTAAAACAACCACCCCAAGGATATCACCCTTCGTAAGTCATGGCCATGAACATAAAGACATGAGTCGCTTCCACGAATGCCGCTCGCGTAGTATTAACAAGGAGGCTCCCCAAGCCGCGGTAAAATCACCTGACTGGTAACGAGGAAAGGGCGCCTGAGCTCGCACTCACTGCAGCAGCTCTCTGCAGCGCAGCTTCCTTTCTCTTCGCAAGCAGGCTCTTCAGAGCGCCGAGCCATCTCGCCAAAGAGTCTTCGTCAGGTGCAGAGAAACGGTAGTTGCGCTCCTCGGTCAGTATCTGCATGCAGTGCCGTTTGGTTCTCGAGACTGGGTCAATGTCGACGGCGTTGATGATGTTCGGGAAAGGTATGATGAGGTTGGCGGAATATTCCTGCGGTAGTGTTAGCTATCTGTCTGGGCAGATGTACTGCCAGTGTCGACTTGACGCACCTCTTCGTTTTTGTACATAGCAAGAGTTCTTGGTCGCAGCACCGCCCACAGATGTTTCCACTGCCGCACGCCGCCTTTGGACTTGAGAATGTGCAGCCAGCCCTGGCACACAACGCGCCCCTCATCCGGCATGGCCCCTAACCCACTTATCTGACTCGCATTGCGTGCCATTGAAGGTCTTGTTGCGGGGTATTCTTTGTCGGCCTGCGTGCTCTCGGTGTTGCTGACATGGGGCAGCGACCATGTAGAATCCCTGGGATGACCTGTTCCAGCTGTATCCGAGAAGTCCGAGAACGAGCCTTGTTCGTTTCCCGAGTAGCTCATCAACCCGTGAGGCTGCTGGCGTGCGCTGTGCAGGTCTGCCGGAACAATTGTGCTCGTTCGTTGAAGTGGCTCATTCTCCGAGGAGCTAGATACCAGGTTCTCTCGGTTCATGTGCCTTTCGAAGCCCTGGTACGAGGTGCGTGCTCCGCCCGGGCTTGTGATCATCATCTCCTCTTCCTCCTCGTCTATGCGTGCTTCGCTGCGAATGAGTTCGACCCATTCCTGTGCTTGCTGTTCGCTTTCGGCGCTGAGGTGGAAGTTGCGAGAGGGAGAAAATAGGCCGAATACGTGTTTCGCTTTCCGCTTGGGATCCTTCTGCCGCGCAACTGCTGTGAGCTCCGAGAGCGTGATCTGGTGTCGTAGTTTGGTCTCTTCTTTGTCCTTGTAGATGGAGAGTAGGTTTGGTCGAAGAACTATGTGTATAGGTTTCCAGGACTGCATTATGCGTCAGCGCTGATCCCTGAGGCACAAGCGGGGGAGATCCGGCTATCATACCTTTGTCTTACGTGTACGCTTCAGCACCGCTCCCGCCTTGATTACGCGATCGAACTCGTAGCTCCCGTTATGGTTAACCGGCGAGAAGACGTCGAGGGTAACATGAGCATTCCGTATATTGCTGTCAATCTGTAATGGAGGGACCGATCTCGGTGTCACCAGCTTCAGATTACTGCGAGGCCTGGTTGTAAGGGTAAGCACGTTGCAAGTACCAGGGGTATCTTGAAGGTTTAGAGTCGGCGAGTTGATTCATGCGCTATCAAGCACTTACTTCTGGAGGTCCGCCTGGTTACGAGAGATTGGCATCGGTGTAGTTGGTAGTATTTCGGCAGGTCTTGGGGCTACGTCTGCCATTGTTGGGAATGCTTCTCAAGTGCCCTCTTGGACACTACGCAAGAACGGATCGTGAGAGGATTTACGCCACGAGGCGTCTAGGCTGTGCGGCCGCGAGGAAGAGGCGTTGCGCGTGGGGAAGCACGAGCGTGCACGAGGCAGGTGCTAATTGCGGGAGACTGGCGCTTGCGGAGGGAGAGCGCAGATGGTGAGCCTGGGGAGGCGTGGAGAGTAGAGCGTTCAATTCAGCGCATGCAAGCTGGCTTGCTCAAGGTGCGGTCAAGTAGAGTAGCGAATGGGCTGCGGTTCTGGAGTTTCTGAAGTATTGTGGTATTGTTGGTGGTGTGAGAGAGAGAGGGACCATTGGACAAGGGAATGTGGAGGATCGGCGGCGCACTGACGTTGGTGGGGTGTTTCAAAATCGTCACGAAACATCTGCGCCGACATGCATGAAAGAACATCTAACGTTACCTTTCTCCAACCAACGGACAGCAGCCGATCACATTTCACGCATAAACACCACATCAGACCACACGGCTCTCATCTCTGACCACTCAAGAGACAGCTGCCTGCAGGATAACGGGCGAGAAACATCCAGCACGACTCTTCACAGTACCCAGCTGACATTGGCCGAGACCGTGGGGCTTCGACTGACTGACTGACTGGCTCTTCCGGCTCTGTCTATCTAGAGAAATCCCGTACTCACACTTGATCTTTCGAGAAGCTACTCCTGGAACACCAACGGTTGTAAACCCTCGAGATGCCCGTCGTAAACCCCGAAAAGCTCGTTGCGCTGCAACGCAACCCAGAGGGCATAAGAAATGTAGGCAGAAGGCCGAAACGCTAGCCTGCAGGTTACTGACAGCTTCAAGATCTGCATCCTCGCACACGTCGTACGTTCGTTCCCGTTCTCCCACTCATAGTCCCCATCTAAGCGCCAAACTCGATAGGACCATGGCAAGACCTCGCTCACAGACGCGCTCATCGCC